GATATGTTAAGTTCCGAGCCTTGTGCACTTGTGGGACCCGTCTCATGAGTGCACGGCGTCTGTTGCGCCTCGAATTTGGGTTTTGGGGCGTGACACAGTGTGTGGAATTTGGCTGAAATGAACAACTGTTTCTAGGAAAAAGGGTCTAAATAATTCTTAGCTTTGCATTCACTGGTGCCAGGTCAATAACTGAGGTAAATGGCATTACCTTTTTAGAAATGCTGGAAAAATAAATTATTCTTTCACTTGTTATTGCGAAATTAATTTATTTGAAATCTAAGTATTTCTTTTACTATCTCCTTGTGGTATTTCTTCTGGAATGCATTTACTTATTTATGTGTATATTTATTTATCATTTTCTTTCTTTAAATAAATGTGGATTAAGCATGTTGGTTGTCAACTATTTGAGATGAGGGGATTTGATAGTTTTGTGATATAGAGACTTTGGAATTGAAAATTTATTTGAAATTAAGGTAGCTTGTTTTGCATAGAATCGTCGGGAATCATTTTAGATTATCGTGCCGTAATAGATTATCGAACGGTAAATCGTGTTAGACTATCGAACGGTAAACCGTGTTAGACTATCGAACGGTAAACTGAGTTAGACCATTGAACAGTTCATTTTTTTTATTTATTTTGTCGTAATAGAGTATCAAACGACCAGTTGATATTCATGTGCCACAGCCATGTGGGATTGAGAAATTGTTTTACTGATGAGTTTCTTTATATTTGTTTCATCCAATATAATTTAATTACTTATTTTATATTACTTTTTAATTAAGATAATTATGCTTGGTCATACTAGTTGGGTATGCTACTTATTGGGCATGTGTAGCTCACATTGTTTATTTAATGTTTTCAGATACTAAACATGGAGCATCTGGGAGGCAGGGGAATTAGAGAGCCACCTTAGAAATAGACTATTTACTTCTTTCCCATTATGCTTAGCATTTGTGGACATTTGAAATAAAGAGATTTTAATTAGTGCTAGTTATACTTCAGATTTTTGGTGTAGAATTAACTTTAGATGCTGGAGTATTATTATCATATATATATTTTTCTATTAATTTTCTTAAAAGTGAAGAATAAATTTTATGCAAAGCTGCAGGGATGAATTTTAGAGACTGATTTAGCCTTACATGCTTTTGGGGTCACTCCTAAAGGTATGTGGCATTGTCATGTCCTAACCCCTAAGTTGGGGGCGTGACAATATCTCCATCCATAAGTTTTGGAATTTTGCCAAATTCTATCAACTCTATTTTAAACTTAAATTTCTTCAATAAATTCAATGCATATAAATCCCAACAAAGAAATGATCTTTTACTACACCAGCAAGGAAATTATGAATCATAAACCAAGACGAAAACCAGAATATAAACCTAGAGAGAACTAGGCACAGATGGCTGAGAAATAGAGAATATTGACGTAGAGAGTCCAATGCAAGGGAAGATGAAGGAGATGAGTGGTCAAAAAAATCCCTTTGTTTTAGTTACGTAATCGGGATTAATTAAAGTCTTTTAATTTAATTACAAATAATTTACATTATTTTAATAATTAATTATTCTTTTTACTAAACAAATTATTAGAGTGGGTAAAAAATGCCATCGAAGCTTTAAAAGAAGTCCAAAATGCCACAATCAACAAAGATAGATGGAGGGATAATGGTTTTGTCAAATTAGGATTCATTTGCTATTCAAAGATTTATAGGATTTATTTGCTACTATTTTGAGGGGCTAATTTACCTTCTACTATACAAGCATATTAACGGGTCTGCTTGGTAGCACCATTAAATATTGAGCTCTTAGTGTAGAGCAAGTTGTCCTCCAAAATTTCTTTCGAAAGACTTGTCTAACAATATATCTTATAATTAATATTTTCAAAAATTAACTATTAGATTGAAAATTTTATTTATGTAAATCATGTATATTAATTTTCATATTAATCTAATACTTATAACCATTCACTCAAAGCAACTCTATTTACTGATATATTAACAGTGTTAAATTTTATGTAATCAATGGTAGTTAGGCCTATTAAAATAATCTAAAAATTGATATGCATAATCTATATAAATAGAATTTTCAATCCAACAATTGTATTTTCAAAATATTAACTAAAAGATGAGTTTTTAGGCAAGTCCTTTAAAAAAAATTTAAGAGAATGATCTGGAAAACATTTTTTCTTTAAATATTAGGGATTTTATTAAAAATAATTTACTTATGTGTGTGACTTTTTTTTTTCCCTTGTGGGTCAAGGCCACTTCTAATTGTAGTTATAAATTATAAATAAATAAATAAATAATATTTAATAAATTGCTTATATATAACATAAAGGGAGACTATAGAAATAGATAATAGTGCATATCAATCCCAATTTCAAAATAAAAATAAAAATAGAGTCTCAGTCTTAAATAAAGTCGTTTTATATAATTAAAACTCATTTCAAAATTCAGAAATCTATTTTATTAAATACTGATACTTACATTTAATAAAAGGTAAAAACTCAACCTTATTGTGATGCATGTCAGTTCATAAATGTAGATATCAACATTTAATAAGGTAAATTTCTAAATTTTGAATTAGGTTATTAATTAAATCGAACTCATTGTTTAAGATGAAACTCTAATTTTTTTTTTTTTTAGTTGTGATTGTTATGCACTACTCTCATAAAAATATATGTAGAAATAGTGTTTTTTTGTCTTATCTTTAAAAAATTAGGAGGAAATCACTTAAAAACTATATCATTTAAATAAATTATCATTAAAAAGGACTGAAGTACCTTATTTTTGAAGTATGAATTAGTTTATATTTGATATTTCTCATAGTGCTTAACTAAAATTGTAACACCCCACATACCTTAGTGAATAATTTAAAAATTAGTGTCCTTTAGTTTATAGTTTTAGGGATTAAATTGATTGAATTTAAAGTTTGGGGGTTTTAAGTAAAACTTAGTAGAAGTTGAATGACCATAACTCAATTATTCCAATTTTGCTTACCACATGGCATTTTCCCAACCAAGTTTTTGGTCTTTATCGGTGGAAGCTTGGATAAGCCTCCAGAAGGCTCCCAAAAGCCTCATTTGGTTTTCCTATGCCTTCCTCTTCCACCTCCATCCTTTTCTTCCTCCTTTCTCCAACCAAGGTTAAGGTGCTTTTGTTAGGTAAGTATAAGTTTTAGTTATGAATTTTGGGTTAGAGTTTTGGGTAGTTTAAATTGGTGAAATTTGACTTTAATCCTTTGGTTTATAAGATTTTTGGGTATTAAACTTTTATTAGAGATATCCTTAAATTTTGGGGTTTATATGGCAAAAATAGTGAGTTAGTCCTTTCTATTGTTTGATTTGGGTGTGATTTTTGCTGTAGGAATTATAAGTAAATTGTATTATTTTGCGAATTACTGTTCATGATTACTGTTCACGATTACTGTTCACGCATTATGCTTTGATCTCTTCCAATAGGGAGTCCTAATATTATTTTGGACATATTATGAATTTGTTTGACATGCGTATGTGTTTGTGGCTATGGAGTAAGTGGACCTAAGCTTAAAGCTTGGGGTATTCAGTGGACCCTTCGGGGTATTTAGTGGACCTCTGCGCAGTAGGGTTAGTACCATGATTAGCTCCGGTACAGTGTTGCTAGCACACCTTAGTGGACTTCATAGCATTGTGTGATTTTCGATTTTATGCATTGCGCTTGTGACATCATATTTGTGAGCATATGATTTTAGTATATGAATTCAATTTAGACATTGTGCTTATGATTTGAGAATTATAATATTATGTGATTTGATTCGGTTGTGTCTTATGCTCTTTGTGTGGAGAGGTCTAAGGGTCTTAGAACCCAAGTTTATATCTTAAGCTTATTACTTACTGGGCTGTGACCTCATAAAATCCCCCCCCCATTTCAGATCAGTAGATTGAGGTAGCAGCATCTCGGTTTATGAGCTTTTGGCACGGGACTCGCATGCTCGTTGTATGTACAAGCTAGGGCCTCGTGTTTTCGATAGGGAGGCAGATCGATGTCTTACCAAAACCATGACTCAGCTTTTGTTTTTTTTTTTGGAAAGCTTTGGAGAAGAAATTTGCCTCATAAAATTTTTGTGTAAATTAGCTTTATGTATAAAACTTTTAAATTAATTGTAAATGAGTTTAGCTTGGCTTATTTTATAACTTTGAATATTTTGGCATTTTCCAATATATATATTGACTTGTTAAAGTGGTTTTCCTTTACAGGTATTTATGATCTTCTTTTTCAAAAGTGTTTTTTATTTCCGCTATAATCCTTTATTATAAATCTTATTTTCGAACTCTTCTAGGACTAAGAGTGCTTAGGGAGGTGTGTTACAAAAATAATATAGTTTTCAAATAATTTTTCTTTTAATTTTTAAGAGATAAGGTTAGTAAGCATTAATTCCAATATATATTTATATGGGAGGAGTGTTTATCCTTCAACTTTTTAAAAAATTATGAGAAAAACACTTGAAAATTTCATTGTTTCAATAAACTCTTATTAAAAAAAAACTCAAATAATTAATTTTTAAAGCAATAGTGAAATTGTTTTTCTTTTTAATGGTTTTTTAATTAAAACAATGTAATTTTAAAATATTTTTTCTCTTAATTTTTTAAAGGTTTGACCAATAAATATTAATTTATATTTATATACTTTTTTAGTTATTTTTATATATGAAGTATACAAGTCAAGAAGACAATATAGATCTCTATGCTTAATAGTTCACCCAATATTTTAAAGATATACATTTTTTATACCTAAGATTTATCTACCTCTTCTTAAATAGATAAAATAGTTAACACAATTAAGGGTGTGTCTGGAATTGCGGTTGAGATTTTTTTCGTGTAGTCATACAGTACTTTTAAATATATATGTGTTTGGTAAATTTTTTTTTAAACTGCTTTTTTTTAAAAACTACAAAAAGTTACAATAGGTCTACAATAAATTTATTATAAAGTCAGAAGCCTCATTTTGATGCTTTTTGACTGTGACTTTTAAGGAGAATACATAATATTTAATATAATTATAAAATTATTCATTAAAATCCAACTTCATATAATTTAATTATATCATAATTTATAATATTTTAATAATTATAATAAATTTAAAAAACTTAAATTATTAAAAAATAATAAATATTATCTATTTTAATAATTATACAACTTATAATATTTTTAAAATTTTAATTAATAATGAATAAAATTTATCATATTTCATCTATAATACTTTCAAATAATAAAAAATCAAACACTAAAATAATTTTTAACCATAATCACAACACAATATAATTCAATACAACTACAACTACAAATATAGTTACAGCGTTTTACAACAATCCCCCAACAATTCCAAACGCATCCTATATCAAGTTGCTAAATCATGTTCCAGGGATTACGTGTGCTGGATCGATAGAGGTAGTATCGGTTCGGTTTGGTTGGAACCTAAACCAAAGTATTGACTTTTGTCGGTTGAAAATTTTGTGAGTTGACACCCAAAACTAGAACGAATAATATTTTGATTATTTGGCTTTGTGCCCACCCCTAGTACCTATACCCGAACCCGATGCTTACTTACTCCTACTAGTTTTCCATTGAAATTAATGGACATTTTCATTTGAGCCTACTGCAAAACATTATTTCTTTTTAATTATCTATGGTGGGCCCGTCAGGGTCAATTATTTCTGCTCGAAATAAGGTTCAATTGTTAGGCTGGGACTTTTGAGTTTCTAACTTGGTCCAAATTTGGTCCGCCCATGTAAGCAATTCATCTTACCTTTGCAATTCTACTGTTCTGTAAAGCTTTCAAATTGAGACTTTCCTTATTTAACTGTCTTAAAACTGTTGAGTTTGAGGGAAATGGAAAAGAAAAATTTTCTTCCTCCTACCCACAATTTGAAAATTTCTTTCGAACTAAAGGAGCTCTAATAAAGAGTCAATAAGCCTTTGATTTTTTTTTTTCATTCACTTTTTTTCTTTTTGATATCCGTAAGTGCAACGTGTTAAAATTGTTGCCAATCAAATAAATCCGTCAAAAGTTATTCTAGCCGTGACTATTACAATCACCTTCCCCTCGAGGCATTGTCTTTTCCACATATTCTATGCCTGAGGACCTTAAGCTGCCTTCTGTTTCCAATAAGATAAAATCATTGGTGGCACTCTTTTATTATGAAGTTTGTGGCCCTGATGGGATACAACAAACGCAAGGCATCCGAAGCTATGTAGAGGTGAAAGTGCCATGTTGTCCAAGTCACTTCCTCATGTTGTCCACGTCACTTCCTTCAGTCAATTTTTTCGTTTTTTTGGACAAAGTGGAATTTGGGTATGGGGGAAGAGCGAAGAAAAAATTAAGAGGCTTTTATTTATTTTAAATGATATATTCTCAGCATTCTCTAAAGATTGGTTAGCGTTTTTCCCGAAATCAGAGTAGTTTAAAGACTGCTCAGATCCTCCTGTCAAGAATGGTGTTGAAAATTTCATCATTGTGTATCAGTTAAGAGGGAGTTTTTTCATAAATATATATATATTAATTTGAATAATTAAAATATTTTTAAATTAATTTTTATACACTTTAAAATTCATCTTTTCTTCAATAATCTTAAGAACACATATTTTTCATGTTAAGTAAGTATATTTCAAAGATTTTTTTTTTTTAAATTTAAAATTTAAAATTTAATATATAAAATAATATTTGATTATATGTTAATCTAACCCTCGTGTTAGTTAGAGAGAGGGTTTAAAAATGCCGTGTTTCGATTTGACAAAAAAGTTACTCTCTGTTTTTGTTAAATATATCTAAGCGTTACTAACGAGGGGTGGGATCAAGTGATAAGCAATTTATTTCAGTTTAACCAAAACCTCAAATTCGAGACTTTATGTATGCAGCAGTTTTCGTTGGGAGACTCATCCATCATTTTCATGTGCGCAACTCAAGTCAGTCCAAATTAGTCGAGGCGAAGCCCCGAATATCGGGCGGAAAATCAAAAAAAAA